GGAAAGTTTAGAATATGTTATCGAGTGTGAAGAAACTCTTGCGAACAAAGAAATAAATCATTTTCTAAATCAAAAAAGTTTTTCTCTTTCACTAGAATATAATTTTTTTGGCTTATATCATTAAAGATTAAAATTAATATAAATTATTAATACCATTATAAAAATAAATGTTAAGTTCTCCAATATATTATTTGTCTGAGAATTTGATTAACTTTTGTAAGCAGATTCGTCCACCACGATGAAGAGAATTCAAATGATAGAATAACGCGTTTGCACGTCAATGCAGCAGCATGTAATTTTCATCGTCTAATTTTACGTCAACAAGAATGCTGTGAATACAAACTAACAATCAAGTATGTGGTTTGCATCTTTAATTACCATGTGCACGCGTACAACAACCATAAGATCAAGACATCTGTATTTTAGTGCAGAGCACAAAGTTATCACGAGTAGTCGGCTGATTGGTTTGCTTTTAATTTGAATAACACGAAAGGAGAACACGCGATCACTGATTAGTATAATGCACACAACACGGTTGCTGTGCTGATAGATAGACAGAGAGATGTGAACCTGAACGTTATGGAAATGAAGAGATGTGAAAAGTGAAGAAGACTAATTTAGCTATTTTTTAACTTAAAAATGATTTTCGCCTTTCCCCCCGTGACTTTTCTGTCTAATATTAATACTGATATAATTTACAATGCCAGTATTATTTTTTCGCGTATAAAATAGATCTTTGTTTTTAAACAATTTGTTGCCCAACCTGTTTATTTTGCCTATCACTCTTTTAAAAAAATGTTTCAAAAAAATCATTTCTTGAAAGAAAGAAGTCAACAAGTTGTTGCCAACGTATCAACTGTTAGTACGTCGGATCGGATCCAGATTTCAGATTCCTAGATCGCACTCTGCTTTACCAACAGTCCATACACGTAAACAGATTTTGCTGAAGCACAGATACGAACCTCGTTCTGAATAGATCAATAATAAATTACACATTGTACAAAAGTATCATAAATTCTTTTTCAAATGGATTCATATAGAAATAACGATAATTAATAATCAATGACCAACTGCTGAATTAATCTAAAA